CATTTTTATTTTCATTAAATATAGTTTTATTCTTATATATTCAGTATGTTGTTAAATAAGATAAAAATATTTCAAATACTATTTCTTAACAAATTTCAAATTTTTACCTATACATATATATGCCTGTGTGTGTGTTTTGTCAGTGTGTTGTGTGCGTGCATTTATATACAGATGCATCACACACGCACACACATGTACAAAAATACGCACACATACACGCACACATACACGCACACATATACACACAAATGCACACACACAAACTAACGATTATCGAATCTAATCGAAACCGAAAAAAAATCTTGCATCTCATCGATATACACACATCTATATGGGCTCGTACTAAAAAACATTTCCTTGTAAGATTGTTTGGACTATTGTATGCCTGTTTGTATTTAGGTTTTTATGGATTTATGTATGTATTGTGTTTGTATGTGTTTGTATGTTTGTTTGTTTGTTTGTATGTTTGTTTGTATGGATTTTTGTATGTGTTTGTATGCCTACGTGTTGGTATGCTGATGTGTTAACATAAATGGGCATTCGTATTTTCTTATTTCTAATTATAAAAAGGTTTTTATTATAAAAACCTTTTTATAATTTATTTTGATATTTAGACGAATAAATTTACACAAACTCATGTTTCAAATGCTTGCAAGAGATTGTTTGTGTTCATTTATTTATTTCATTTGCGACGTGTTGTCTGATCTTCATTTGTGAATGTAAATGGATAATTTGGGTTTTTTTGGTTTTTAATGCATGTGTTTCGAAAGTTTAGGTATATACATATATGTATTGTGTTGTATGAATTTTACCAAATTGTTGGCATTACTCAATTTAATGTTTGTCTTTTCAATTTTCCTTACTAGAATTTTCTTGAAATTGTTCAATTTATTTAAAATAGAATTTTTCAAGTTCATCATGAAAATTTAATGAAACTGTTGTTATCAGAATTCATCATGCAAATAAGGCCTTATTTCGATTTTTCATAAATCATCTTCAGTGCAGGTTTGGTTTATATAGTTTCCAATCAAAGTTGCTAATAAAATAAAACTCCGGATATACATCACAACTGGTTTTAAAGAACGGCTGCACTCCTAAAGACGATTCTACTTTGAAGCGTAATCACATATTATATGAATTTAAATGCCCTATTGACGACATTGGTATGTTGGTGTTACGACCACTTCACTATCAAGACGTCTCACAATGCATACACAAACAGGGGCCCTCAAATCTCACTTGCAATCAACACATGCAACAACTCCAATAACCCGCCAAATTCTTGACAACCACACAAATAATTTATCAAAACGCCAACATAATACATCTAAAAATTGCAGAGGCTGTCCTAAAAGATATCATTAAACCCCAAATAAACATCTAACAAAGAATAATAACCAACTTGACGCCTCAATACTAACTTCAACAACAATGAAAAACAAAGAAATGACAACAACAAAGATGAAGATAAAGAACTTTGCTAAAGAACTTTGCTTTTTTTAAAGAAATTATTTAAGCCAAACCTGCACTAAAGAATATTTATGAAAAATCGAAATAAGGCTTTAGCAGCAGTTTCATTAAATTTTCATGATGAACTTGGATAATTCTATTTTCAACAAATTGATCAATTTCCAGAAAATTCTAGTAAAGAAAATTGAAAAGACAAACTTTAAATTGATTAATGCCAACAATTTGGTAGAACTCTCACAATACCGTTTAAAATATGACCTCCTTTCAACATTTATATGTATGCATGTAGCAGTGTTGTTAACATTTGAGGTGGATGCATATTGCATGATGACTCGATGGGGTAGACGCCTTCATTCCTATTTACTGCGCTAATTAGTGCTTAACTCGGTTGCTTGCGGCTGCTGGTCTTCTTGTTTGTTTTGTTTGTTCGTTCGTTCCTTTGTTTGTTTTTGTTTGCTTGTTTTTAGTTCTGACTGGATTTAAAATTTAGCTGCATAAGTAGGCCTTTTTTTGAATTTTTCTGCTAGCCTTGAGACTTAATTTTTGTAAAGTTGTAAAAAAATAACAGAAAATATAATAAATTCATCATTATATAAAAAAAGTTTCTGTTAAATGTGATTTTGAGATAATTATTTCATCAATGATATTACCGAATACGTAATAAACAAAAGGCTTAATAAGTTATTTAATTAACTAACTAATTAATTAATTCAAAATCATTATCATTAATATCTCACAAAACTTCCCTAATTAAAATTTCTCATAAATTATAAACCGACCTCAAAGTTGGTCATCGCGTTTTTGAGAAACTTTCTTGACGGAGGGCTGTGAAACGAGAGATTACCATCAAATTAAGTGAATGCAGCCGCTAATGATCCAGGCGGCATGATTAATGATAATGATTGATGACTCTCCGACTTTACTTCGATTTTTCCTCTCCACTTACTCTCTCTCCAATTTCATATAATCTTTTTTTCACTTTATTTAATTCTCTCTCTCTCTCTTTCTCTCTCTCTCTCTTTCTCTCTCTCTACTATCGTCATTTTGCCACTTTGCTTTCAACCTTCAAATTAATTTCTGCCCCTTTGGTGTTTTCTACTCTAAATAAATTTTAAGAAGATTCTTCGGTATGGCTTTTTATAATTTTTCATTTCGTTTTATTACTTTATTAAGTAGAATTTGGTGGTTTCAGTTTATTTTACTCGTCCTTAATTAATTCGTGAGGTCTTTGAAGTTAGGAATTAGGAATAGATTCAAGTTTCAGTAATTTTTTGTTCTTGCTCCATCTTCCCATTGCATTTATTAACTTTTTCCATTTCCTTTCGCGACTTAATTTAATTATCGAAATGTAATTAATTCAAGAAAAAAAAGAAAAAAAAACATCTTGAGGCGATGTGAGAGTAGCATGCTGTTGGTGAATGTTGCAATGTTATAAAACCTCAACAGAAGTCTGCTGGGAATGCTTTCATTTTCAGATGGACGGACGGATGAATAATTGAATGGATGGAGAGAATGTTGAATGAATTGAATATTAAAAACATATAAAAAAATTAAAAAATTCATAATTAAACGAAACATTAAACTCTAAATATTAAAGTAAAAGTTAATTATTTAGTCGGAATTTAAAATTGAAACTTATTTTCTAACGACAAATATAAGTTTTGAAAAATGAAGCATAATAAAAATTGATTCGAAATTTTAATGTTTGGGAATTCAACATGGTATTTTTTCTTTTGCTTTTTTGTACCCAAAAACTCTTGACAACAAAACATGCCATTGAAATGTTTATTGAAAAAGACAAAAATGTTGAAACAGCTAGCCAAAAATGTAATGAACATAGAAGTCATAAATATTCTTTGCAATGATCAAAAGCAGATGAGTTCGACAAAAAAATATAATTGCTTTTTTTTGTTTTATTTTTTTATTTTCACAATTCAGCACTCTGATATCGATAGTTGGCAAATTTGCTCTGTGGGTCGTGTCAATATACTGGCGAGCATTTTATTCATCAGCAAGAATGTTTGCGTGCCTGTGCATAACTCGCATCAGTCAGATGTGTGCTTGCCTATGTGTGTGTGTTTGTGTACGTGTTTCTGTCATCAAACATCTCTATATGTATATGTATGCGTGTTTACTAGTAGCTTCGTACATCAAATAATAACGTTTGTCAAACGTTTATTGAATGCATTTACAAAACTACGAATAGATGAGCGTATAAACATCATACATCTTTAAAACATACACTAAAACATACACACACACACACACACACACACACACACACACACACACACACACACACACACAAAAACACATACAAACACACACACACACATAATTACACTCACACATTTATAAAGACACAATCACACAACCAGTCAGCCACATGTGCCTAACAAACTCGTTTGCACGCACAACAGACACATCTGTGAATAGTTGGAATAAATTTGAAGATAAAATGTTTGAACGTTTTTGTGTAGAAAAGTTAGCAGGCAATTCAGACCTCAAATGATGTTGGATGTTTTGAATCCTTTATAATGAATTGCTGGTTTGACCATTTTGTCAGCAATTTCAGTCCTTCAAAACAGAAAAACGAAGAAAAAAGAAAATTACAAAAAAAAATTAGGAAGTTTTGCCGAGAAAAAACGATTTAAAAAATGAAAAGAAGGAAATTGTTAAAAATGGCAATAAAATAAAATATTATGCAGCAGTAAGAGGACAATGGGACGTTCCAACATAAAATTTTCGCACCGTTCGTCTGTTTGTCTGCGCTGAAGTATAAAAAAACACGCGATTCTTTGCGTGTGTTTTACTTCAACATACAAACACAGACGTACATACAAACACACATGCAAGCACACAGACAAACAAACCTGTATACAAACCTACAAAATGACAGAGGAGACAAATAAAAACCATGGTGTACAGAACAGAACATAAACATTCCCATGAAATGCAAAGTCTGACGGGCATTTTTCAGCTATTAAAACAAGTTCACTTTCACGCTTTCATAAATGAGAGCAAGAAAGAGATAGAGAAAGAGAGAGGGAGAGAGAGAGAGAGAAGAAGAAAAAGAGCATAAAAAATAAAGTGCGAGAGAATGATTGAAAAAGAGCAAGGTCCCAACTGGCCGAGTTTTCTTATGTCTCCGAATAATTCAAAAGAGGGTGGCATAACCTTTCTCCGATGAAAAAACACGGACCACCGATTAATGGAAGTCTGATGAATAAATTATGTCTTAACAAATTTCTAAAATTTTCTACTTGACTCATTCGTCCATAAGGCTAACTGACTGATCAGAGAAACATCATCTAATAGGATTTGAAATCACAAAATGAAATTTCACGTTGTCGTTGTCGATAATTTTTTAGTGCATGTAAGCTTTCAGCCATTAAGTGACATATAGCAAGCAGCATCTTTAGATGCTAGCAAGAGCACTTGCTAGCATCGTTCATTGGACAATTTTAATCAATTTCATTCTAAATAAATGAAACTTTTATATATGTAATGTGTGCGTGCGAGTGTGTGAGCTTTTAAATATATTTGTGTGTGTGTGTGTGTGAGTGTGTGGTGTGTGTATGTGTGTGTTTAACATCTATCTCATAATTTATTTATATTATATATTAGTTCTTTTTATCTGGCAAAACCAGGCAAGAAAAACAAAATATTTCTTCTTCATTAATTTTCATTTTATCATTTTTTTGTTTGTTCTTCGCACAGATAAACACACACACACACACACAATTTTGTTATTCAATATAAATAATACTTAAGCAAATTTGCATACCGCATTTTTTTTTACTAGACAATCCCCCTAATCTATAGTCGCGAGTGAAGCGTTAAAAACTACAACAGCCCACAACGTCCTACGCATAATTCAACCGTCAAACCTAAAAAACTTATTTTAGAAAAATATGAATAAATAATAAAAATTTGACTGCCTGTGCAACAAAGCCTATTTAAAAACGTACTCAGAATGTACCACACCTGAGATGAGGAGAGTTTTTAAAATGTTTGAATCGGACGTAGGTGTAAATATTTTTTTTTTAAAAGTTGTCGAACAAAATTAGTGCAACATCGTAAATGTTTCAACGCACTTTATAGCCGAAAGTGTGATTGCTTTAGTTCAATTCTACGTTCAACTTTATTTCAATTCAACTGTACATTTTGTTTTACTATTCTTATGAAAATTTGTTAAATCTATTGTTAAGAATAAATAATAATAATAATAATAATTAAATCGTTACTTAATTTTTTTAAATGCTGTTCATATTTAAAACTCGCCCTGTTCGCTAACCGTATAAATTTCCACCCACCCACCCACGCGGAACAGATGCGGACAGTTGGACATTCAACCGCGGTGGAGGGCTCATAACTATAACGTTGGATAAGATGGTTCACCATTCGTCAGAAGACCGGGTGGCTTTTGGATTCAGCACCCACCAATCCGATGCCGTCATCCTTCACGTGACCAGCTCATCAGCCAATGAATTCCTCTATTTTGAATTGGTTGATTTTCATCTATTTGTATATATTAAAATTTAAAAAATGTTAATATTCTAATCCTAACTAATAATCTGCTTATTTAGTTTATAATTAAAGCGAAGAGTGTTTCGAATAAAAAGTGCATTAAAATGTGACGAATTGAATTAACCTTCTTCCCCATTCGTTAAACTTAATTTCATCCAATTTTCTTTCCTTTGTGGACCAATTTTTTGAAGTTTTTTTGCTCGTTTTGGATCACGTCACGTATTTTAGAGAATTATCTGGCTTAACGAAATTAAACCGAGGACGTTTTCACTAATTTTAGTAAATTTTTAGGCGTTTTTGAAAATTATTCAAATCGGTATCAGCGCCATACTGTTTCAATGAGTTTTGTTTATTTTGTGTGATAGCGTGTATGTGTGTATGTATGTTTTTATGAAATTATGTTTGTACGTGTGGGAGTTTATGTGTTTGTAAACTTGTAAACACGCTGATGTGTTTGTGTTTTTAATAAAGCATCCAACTCGGCGAGTGCTTATGAATATTTTAGCATCTCTGAACTGAGATTGGAGGCATTTGTTCTACAAACTTCCAAAGTCCTCCATTGCAAATGCACAGGCACAGCACGTCACTGAAAAATTAGCCGTAAATAAAATATCAACCCGATAAACACGTACGCACTTTTTCTTCTATTAAAAATCACGTGTAAATTATTACCTAGCAAAGAAATGAAACAAACTGAAAAAATTATAAAACAAACATCGTGAAACTATTTCTGAACAAAATGCAGAAGAATGTTCAAATCTCTAAAAATATTTAACTACAAATAACAGAAACAACAACATCATCACCGAATTCAAACTCTACAACAGAAGCTACAAAACTAAACAACACAACTCACAAACAACACAACTCACAAACAACAGAATGTGCCAGCCGACAAAACACAATCTCATACAACACACCAATTTATCACAACACACACAAACACATACACACAATAACACACACAGACACACACACACACACTCAGTTACCTACGCAAAAAACACAACAGCAAACAACTCAACAAACAAACGGCCCCAACGCCTACTGATGACGTAATGGCCTGCACCTTATTTATAATTCATGTAAAGTGTTGCTATCTGTGTGCCTCATTAATTGAGCACCGCTCTTACGTCACGATGAATCATCATTGAACCTTGCAAGGAAGAGACACTGAGTTATAACATGACGAGGTAACATATGACCTAGGTTCTTTGAAAGCGAGCACCAAGTATAATGACGTCATTCGTATACATTTGCTGGGTGTTGGCCGGCCACTAAAGAATATTAAGATGGTAATTCGTTCGGTGTGATGCGTTTTAAAACAACTCAGTGAAGTGCATCCAAAATAAAAACCACCCCCTACAAACTTAATGGCATAAATTTATTTCAACGAACCGCAAAAAACCCACAAAAACACAGACAACAGACGAGTTCGTAAATATTTTTTCATTTCCAAACAATCGTACGCAAAACTTTTTTTGCCGCGAAACTCAAAACTTCAAGGACCAGATTGGTAATCCAGATTTTAATGGCATCTTACGCTTGTCATTTTTCTTCATAGCAACTGAACAAACAGGGAGTTAGGAGTGAAACTGCAATCGTCTATTTGTAACCAGAGTTTGTTGTGTTTGTGTGAAAGTGTTTGTTTGTGTTCGTGAGTGTGTGTCTGTGGGTATCACTTGTTGTATTTACGTGCGCGTATATTATGCTTTCCACGTTTCTTACTTTACGTACAACAAAAACTTACATTTAAAAACCAACTGTGTGACACTGTGCGCAACTACGTTCAAATATTAACAGTTAAATGCTTTAAAAATTGATAATGAGTTGTTTTTATAAAAATAATTTTTTTGCGTTTTCAATCCTTTGTAAATGATTGCAATTGTTTCAGTGCATGCATACACCGATGCATGAACCTGACCCCTGCTGTCTTCCACTAACATGTCCACATTTACGATGGTACGTCTGGCTGCATGGCTGCATTCATTCACATCCACATGTGAGGCCAGCATACAAAAAAAAACTCTTCCAGACAACAGTTTTTTCGATAATAAAACCAGATAAATAATTCAACATCTTACAATTTTATGCGTAAAAATGTCTCAGCAATTGAATCTATCAAGCCTTAATGCGTCTGAGGAACTAAAAAAAAGTGCAAACGTTTGCATGAGAACATTGAAAAGAAATGTTGCTGATCTGAACACTACGTATAACCACAACATGTTGCTGGTAACAAATTCCTGAAGTTATCATTCTCAAGTTTTTTCTGTATTTTGCATTTTTCCACTATCTTTGCATTTTTATCCCATTTTCAATTTTTATTTTACGATGCTTTTTTCACGTATTTTTTCTTCTTTGTATTATTTTTGAAGGAAATGTTTGATTAATTTGGGACCGTGTGAGGTCGAGATCAATAATTACTTGTTGGCATTGTTGGTTGGTTGGTTGGCTGGTTAGTTGGTTGGTTGGTTGGTTGACTGGTTACCTGGTGTGTGGTGTTGTTTGTTTTTTGGTTTTTTGGTTTGATGGTTTTGCTTTGTTAGTTATTTATAACTTGTAATGTTGTTGTTGTTGTCGTTTGATGTTTTTGTTAACATTGTTGATTTTGTTGTTGTTTGCGATAGCTTGTCAATGATTTTGTAGCCTAGTTTTTATTCATTTTGATGTTGTCGATCTTGTTCCGTTTTTTTGATGTTAATGGAGTAGTTGTTTATTAACGTAGATGTTGTAAGTTGATGTATTTTGTTGACATTTTACATGCTGATGTGATTTGGTGTGATCTGCCCGTGAAGTTACGACTGAACGAAGACAGTTTAATGTTTACGATGTTCAACAATGTTGAAAAGTAATGAGGTTGTGTCATTATTTTCTTTGGGCAAATTTGTTATTTTCATGTTTGTCTCTGCGATATTTGTTGATGTGTTTTCTTTTTTATGTTATTTTTTGTTAACGTTATTTGCTGCTGTTAAAAAAATGTTTTGTTGATGCTTTTATTACCGTAAAGTTTATTTGAGAAATATTTAATGTTTGCAATCATCTGGTTTTTTGATTAATGTGATTTGATTTCTGCTGCAGTTGTTGTAGTTGCTGCTTTTGCTGTTGTTGCTGTGGCTGCTATTGTTGCGGCAGCTTCTTCTGTTGTTGACATTCACTGAATTGTTTTCACAAAAACAAAATTTGTACTTCAATCATTTTAGCGTGTTTATTTGTTCTGATGTTGTTTCATCTTTCTTTTCATCTCTTTGTTTTTTTTATACAATCGTTTGCATTTTTTCTGGTTTTGGGCGGGAATTCAATGGAAAAAAGGCACATGACGATCCATTATATAAATTGCTGGAGACGATGATTGCAAAACTATCATGAATGTTACGATCGTGAAGATGGCGAGACGGATGTTGTAGTAGCTGGAGTAGTAGTAATAGTGGTTGTAATAGTCGTAGTAGTAGTAGTTGTAGTAGCTGGAGTAGTAGTAATAGTGGTTGTAATAGTCGTTGTAGTAGTAGTAGTAGTAGAAGTTGTTGTTGTTATTGTTGTTGTTGTTGTTGCTATAATTAATAATTCATTTTAAAAATTTAGTATAAATTTTTAATAAGATTTACAAATTTAAATAGTAGAATTTGAAATCAGTAATTACGATTTAAACAGCAATAAACATGATCTCATCTCTCCAAGCAATGCATTTTTATTGCCACGGTTAGACATCCTTGATTCAACAACAACAGCATAAACAACAATAAAAACATCGATAACATTAACAAACAACAACAACAACAACAACAACAACAACAACATAAACATTATAAACATAAACATGAATAAAAAATGCAACATCATCAACAACAACATCAATAAGCAAACGACATCAACAAACAAACAAACAACAACACAAACATCAACATTGTAAACATAAACAGATATATAAACAACAACGTCAACAAATGTTTAAAACACAACAAAATGTTTAAAACACAACAACGACAACAACAACAACAATGACAACAACACCAACGCGGGAAATATGCAAGGACGATAAATTAAATAAAAAATAATTTCATCAATTATGCGACGAGCGATATTACAAGAACCACAACTACAATAACAACTGTAAAAACAACAACAACGACATAGATACTATTAAAAATTACAAAGAAAAAATATTATTACATAAACAACAACAACAACGAAAACATCGTAATTGAAGATCTTATACAATTTTCATAATATCTGTGACAAGAATGACAAAACAATAAATTTATTTACGTGGGCCATAAAAACAAAAAAATAAAAAAGAGTAATAACAAAGAATAAAAAAAACCAAAATACAATTAACAAAAGAAAAAACAAAGCTATAGAAAAGATAACAATAAAAACATTGTTTCGAATATTGCTAGTGTTGGCGAGAATATAATTATCAAAAAATGATTGAATTATTTATTAATTTCTTGCCATCCAAAAAGTATGAAAAACACTTGTTGATACGAACAACAACAACAAAAACAACATACAGAGCAATAACGTAAACAACAAATACATACAATAAATAAATAAACAATATAAACAACAACGTAGATAAACAAACAAGTATAAACAACAACATAGATGAACATACAAATATAAACAACAACATAGATGAACATACAAAAATAAACAACAAGAGTTTTAAAATCAACATCAGAATGAGGTCGGTTGGAATTAGTTGCTGACAAAAAGCAGACAAATGTGCACTACTACTACCACCACTACTACTACTACCACTACTACTACTAGTACTACTACTACTACTACTACTATGGCAGCAGCAGTAATAATAGTAGCAGTAGTAGCATTAGTAGTAGTAGTAGTAGTAGTAATAATAGTAGTAGTAGTAGTAGTAGTAGTAGTAGTAGCAGTAGTAGTAGTAGTAGTAGTAGTAGTAGTAGTAGTAGTAGTAGTAGTAGTAGTAGTAGTAGCAGTAGTAGTAGTAGTAGTAGTAGTAGTAGTAGTAGTAGTAGTAGTAGTAGTAGTAGTAGTAGTAGTAGTAGCAGCAAAAGTAACTTTTGTTGTAATATTAGAAGTTGAAGTAGTTGTAGTTGTGGTAGCATTATCAATAGTAGTAGTAAAGGTAGTGTGGCAGTAATAGTAGTAGTAGTGATAAGAAAGAAAGAAGAAAAAACTGAAAACCTCACCGAAAGAATGTCTCTCTAAATCATACTTCATTTATCACGGCCACCATGCTAATGCCAATATCTATTGATATAATTGTGGTGAATAACTAATATGTGTGTTTACATATGCGTGTGTGTGTGTGTGTGCGTGTGTGTGTGTGTGTACGTGTGTGCGTTTGTATGTGCGCGTGCATGTGTTTCCGATGTATGTTTATACAATAATACAATCTCCTCAATGTGATACAACATATTCATTAGAAGGCAAGATGGTTGTGATTGAGTTCATTTAAGAACTCAACTAGCACAACCACCTGGAACATAAATTGTCAAAGTTCTGCAAAATGTCAATAAAAAATTAAATAAACATCTGTTCTCAAGAAAGACAAAAAGAGATTCAACCGGAAAAAGTTACATGGAAAAAATTAAATGTTGAATTAACTTGTTCCAAATTACAACATTTAAATGAAAAAAGCAAATTTACACATGTCGTTTTCACTCTCTCATCCATACTCACTCACAAACACATCCACTCACACACATCCATACTCACTCACAAACACATCCACTCACACACATCCATACTCACTCACAAACACATCCATCCACATTCACACGTTCATGAATCGGTGATGAAGTATGTCAGATTTCTTTTAAATTCAGATGGTGATGCTGAATCGTGATGAAAGTCGGATTTTAACAGCTGATTCTACATTCTTGTTCCTCTACACAGAATGTGATGAAATAGAACATTTGTTTTAGATTTGTTTGATCTGATGTAGTTTTGTTTTCTTTTATTATTAACATGTTGGAAATAATTGTTGAATATTTGTAGTAGTTTTCCAGCGAGTTGTCTATAAACAAAATTTACTGAGAGATAAATATTTACCTGATCAAAGTTAAAGTTTTTGGCAGCCATAAATAATGGTTTACCGTGAAAACGTCTTGTTGACAAAAGGATTATTCTTACTGCTCTTTTCCTCAACGTTTTGATGGGATGAGTTATTGTCGAAAAAGTACACTCTATTGCAGTATGAAGCATGTGTCAAAAAACAAATAGATTTATAGAGCCTGTTCAAAGTTGTCGGTGGTACGAAATGACGTATTTTGTTGATGACACAAATTGCTCTAGCAAGTTTGCTGGATTTGCAATGAACGTGATTGCGAAAAGTTAGCTTTTGATCAAGAAAAATTACAAATTTCGGTTCTGCAAAAATTATTAGAAACCAGAATTTTATTAAAAATCTGTCTGTTGTGTATGCATACGATCCTACATGGTGTGGTATATGTAAGTGTGTTTATTAGTATGTATGTGTGTGTGTGTGTGTTTGTTTGTGTGCTTGTGTTCATTTGATGATTTGCGCATGTATGTATCTGTGCGTGTTTGAGTGTGTGCCTGTATAAGTACGTGTTTCTATTTGTCACATCCTCCAAGTAACGCCGGATAAATGGATTTTTGAAACGAGGCAGCCCTCTTAGCGTCCAGGCCATTAAGGTTGTCATCATTTAAACGATGTCATCATCTCAGTTTCAGACTATTTAAAATATTTCATCCGATAAAATGATAATAATAGAAAATTAAATAAACATTACTACAATCGTTATGTTCATTTTTTTGAGATTTTAAGATTCTTTTGAGATTCACTCGATCACCGTGATCGCCCTACCAGGTTGGAGGCAACGTGTATGCCGTCTACAACCTCGGATCGTTCGATACCTCTGTGAATGACCTCTACACAAAGGTCAACGATGGTCAGCATCACGTGGTACGTTTCTACAGGAATGGTTCCAACTCAACCATTCAAGTTGATCAGGAAGAACCGAGATTCAAAAAACTATCTGGTTGGTTGGTCGGTCGTTTGGTCGAATTTTTGATTGGCTAGCTAGAAATATGCTTATATTTTATTTGAAAAGTTTTTCAATTAAATCTTCATTTTAAAATAATCAAATTTTTTGTTTAATTAACAAATTGGCCAAATTTTTTCCAACACCCCTACCAAATAAGGCCGCCAGTTATCAAAATTCAACGGTCAATCAGCCATCTTCATCGGAAGTTTGAGGACTGCTGGCAAACTCACCAAGTCATTCCAGGGCATTCTTTCTGGTAACCATTGTTAATGATATTTTCTTTCATCAGTTTATTATTTTTATTTATTTATTTTTTAATTATATACGTTAATCTCTTGATTCTTTGGTGACGTTGTTTCGATAGCATATAGCCTATTAATTAATTTGCTAATTCAATTGGATAATTAGTTAGTTAATAAATTAATTGATTAAATTTATTGATTTATGTAATTAATACAGACTACTAATAAAGTGCAAGTTGATACAATTATTATTTAGCGTTCAATTTGAGATAAAAAGAATTAGGCAAAAACAAAATATTTAAAACAAATAAATTATATAACAAGGTTTAGTTTGGAATGGTCACCACTTATTGTCGATGGCCTCGTCACGTGACCCAAGGTCCAAAATTGAAGGTCAAGTTGAGGTCAACCGGAAGTCGATGGTTAATAATTACATGAAGTTAGTGATGATGGTAATGATGATGACGTGATTTTATGATAATGACTTCTCTGGCTATTAACCGTCATTTCGTTGTTAAATTATTGAATAGAAATGATGATGCTGATGACCGTGATAGATAGATTGATAGATAGATAGATGGATGGATGGATGGATGGATGGATGGATGGATGGATGGATGGATGGATAGATAGATAGATATCAATTATGATATTAATCCAAATGGTGATGATGAAAATATGAAATATTATATGAAAAACATATACTGTATGAAAAATCACAACACCGTAATTAAAATTATAAACACACACAAACACATACAACACACACACACTCACACACATACACAACACAGAAACAACACATACACACGCACACACATTCATAAACATCATCAACAACAAACTCTCGCAAGAATAACAACACGATGCTTTTAAAAACGAACTCACAATCTTAAGAAAGAAAGAATGAATGAATGAATGAATGAAACATCAGATTGTTGCATTCGTTCATTTGTGAACTGACTCAATAATACAACAACAGATAGTAGCACACACGCACACACAAACACACACACAGACACACACATTATGGCGTATATACACACACACACTCACAAATCTTAGCAGAAATACATTGATGCATCTAAAAACTCCAATTATGATGTTCTTTATAGTTTTATACACACAGACAGACATATACGCAAATACATATATATTACATAAATGGACATGAAAGCACACGCACACAGATATGCACACAGACACGCACACAGACACACACAGACTCATATACGTGTGAAGGAATACATTGAAACATGATTTGCCTTTCAAAAGGTCAATGCGGTCAGATGTCATACCTTGTTCGTCTCGTCTCTTTTATGCTGAATTTGTTTTTGTAACTTTGTGTGTGTGTGCGCGCGCGCGCGCGCGTGTGTGTGGTGTGTGTGGTGTGAGTGTTTGTCCTCTGACATATATATATATGTATGTTTGTATACTGATATGTG